TCTGCCCATATCTTCTGTTCACTTTGACATCAACTTTAGAACTGGCTTGGTATGACTGATTAGCTCTTATATACCCAGTCACTAACTAACTGGAAAAACCGGTTTAGCACATTGGGTCTCTAACTCATAATGGCCTGATGCAAATGTCTCTGTTTTACATTTCAGTGGCAAAAAAATTGAGTGATGTTGGGTAATGATTGAGGTGTGAAAATATTCAGTCTATTTTCCAAAACATTTTTAGGTAACTAATATGACTGTGCCCTGCTAGAATTAGGTAACTAATATGACTGTGCCCTGCTAGAATCGTATAAATACGATTCCCATCTCTACTAGTAGAGATGCCAATTGGCATCTCTACTTAGTAGAGTTGAAATTTGAAATTTATTTGTTGCTCATCATTTTAGAAATGTACAACAGCAGGGGGAGCAGAAGTGCATCCCCCTGAATTAGGTACAATTTGTCACATTATTTAAAAAAAACAACGTTCACATTGAAAAATAATACATCTAAACTAACATATATACAAAAGACACATATAAAAATTATTTACAACAGATATGCACAAAGTTGCTTGGTCAGGCTATGCAAGTTCCAATGTAGGGTTGGTGGTGTTAGAGCTGGTGCTAACAATTATATAAATATATATATATATAATTTCAATTTCAATTTTAATTTCAATTTTATTAAGTATAGTCAACATAGCAGGGGTACATACTCCTGAATTGTGTGGACTTTACATATTATTAAGTATATCTATCTATCTATCTTATATATAGATAGATAGATAGATAGATAGATAGATATAGATAGATATAGATATAGATATACATATTATATATATTTATATATAATTGCTTGATCAATTATCTAGCATTATGGCCGCAATCACCGCCGAAATTTATTAGTTGTAAAAAGATCAGTTCGGAGAAAGTCACGGCATCATAGGATTGTGTGGTGTAACAGCAGTGTTAAATGGCTCCAAACCAAGATCATTCCCCTTGTGAGTGAATCAAACCAGTTCAGTCTAAAACTGGCTTTCACTCCCAGTGAGCATTTGAGCTGGTGTCAATTCTGATGTTTTACTAAAGTGAGAAGAGAATTGCTTTGACAGTCTTTATTTCATTAACCCATCATCATGGAGTGGCTACATGACCAATGAAAAATGAAGGATACAGACAAGCTAAGGGACATGTTAACATCATCATTTCTGTGGCATTTATTTATTCTCTTCTTCTTTTTTCTAGCCTTCACTTGGATTTGAGACTAACAACAAATACAAGATCATGAATTCCCAGGGCCAGAAGGTATATTTTGCTGCAGAAGACAATGACTGCTGCTCACGACAATGCTGTGGAAACATACGATCCTTTGAGATGAAGATAATGGATAACAGTCAGAATGAAGTTATCCACTTGAGTCGGCCGCTGCGCTGCATGCACTGCATGTGGGCCTGTTGTCTGCAGGAGCTGGAGGTGCAGTCCCCCCCAGGTAAAAATCATGTAACAGCACTGAAATACTAGAAGTCATGTAAAATAAAAAGTACATTTTCCTGAATATCATTGCAATATCTGTAAAACGTCTACCTTAAAACTGCATTATGTAACATTAGGATAATACAAAAAGGCAATTTTCTAGTCTAGTCATTACAAAGTACAGTGTAAGTTGAATCAATTATCATTATTACTACTACAAACTATAATTGTCAGCCAGGAAGTGGAGGTGCCAAAGCTGGAAACACAGCTGTCAGGAATGTTTGTTAAAGACTTCATATTTTTGTACTCACAAAATGTATTGTTGCCAATCATACATGTCAATAATGTGTAACAATAACATAAATAACATAAAATAAAAGTGAAAGTAAATGACACTTAAGATATTCTAGTTTTTGGTGCAAAAAATTTTTTACATACTAACTTTAGTAATTGTAGTAATACATGCAACCTTTAAAGCAGTGTGACAAAATCTTCCATGAACAATAACGATTGAAAGAAACATATCTCCGAAAAGCTTTCAGAGACTGTAAACCAGTTAATAATACATGTAATGCAATGTAAGTTGAGAATATCCTTTTCAACAGGAACTACTGTCGGATGGGTGAAACAGACCTGGCATCCATTCTTGCCCAAGTTTGTTGTCCAGAATTCTGCTGGAGAAACTGTCCTCACCATTGAGGGTCCATGTCTGAATTGTTCATTCTGTGGAGATGTGGAATTCGATGTGAGCTGAATTTTGTTTCACCATATGGTGTTTTTGCTAGGCTAAGTTAAATCAACATATGTTGAACTAGAGTTCGGCGATCTCATACCTCCATGACATATTTAGTGCTTTTGTAAATCTTATGCATGATGATGACCACCTGTAAATGGCTACAATCCTGCTCATTAGCAAAAGTTTTATACAAATTATTCATATGGCCCTACCTAGTAACATGCAACACACTGGTGAAATCCTTATCATTTGGCATGGACAACGTATGATATCCTTGGCTATATGCAAGTATGACCTCTGACATACCTTACCAAATCATGTCAGCTGTCCAAACTTGATATTTGGTAAGTGGGTAGGTCTTGATGAGACCTGGAATTGATTAGATTTTGGGTCCCCTAGCAGCTTCCTATGGTACTGCAGCTGAACTTCCGGTTTTGATATCTCATGATATAGACATGCTAGGGTGACGAAATTAATGGTAGGTAGCTCTTGTGCTGGGAAAGAAGTGACGTAAGTTTGGGGCCCCTAGCAACTTTGTTTGGAACTGCAGGTGCATTTGTTTCATAACATTCGAAAGAGGATAACTCAAGACCCGGTTGACGGATCGTCATGATTTTTTGGTATGTAGGTAGCATGACGATTATGCAAATATGGATGTAATTTGCATGATTTATGAGGAAATTCTCTAAATCAGTTGCATTACATGATAGGAATATTCAAGCTTCTGGCATATGTAACTGCGAACGAGAGAATCACAGACAGATATTGATTATGTAAATAAAGACTTGATTTGCATAATTAATGAGAATATGTTGTAAATCAGCAATGGTAACTGCCTGGAATTTCGTTCTTATGGTCTTTGAAAGTTACATGTAAGTGAAGGTGAACATAATTAAACATAACATATTCAAATAAGGACCTAATTTACATAATTTATGAGGAAATGCTGGAATGGCATTCTTTGTTAAGATAAGAGTATTATCACGACTGTCTTTTGATGGAGAACATTATCAACTGATGTAATTCATGGAAATAAGGATCCCATTTGCATAATCAGAGGAAATAATCATTTGGCGAAGATATGAGATCGTGGAACTTTAGTTTTACATATGTTCATACCCCTGTGACACAAAGGCAGTGTAAATTCTCAAGAGTTTTATGTATCCATTGTTTTCTAAAAATCAAGCTGTAACCAGAAAGGCAGACCTTTGCCCCATACCAACAATTTGACCTATTCCCCTGCCGCACAAAATTGCTCCTAAATCACCCATGACCAAAATGTAGAGTGTTCGAATAGTCTGTACCCCCATATGCAGCAATGGAATCTTCCAACTCCTGATGTTGGAACATGTACATGTAGAACCCGGAGTTCTATTTGAACTGTTTGTTGGGGATTTGGGTTTTGAAGCTACAATTACTATTTTTACTCAAAGCAAGATAAATAAAAGTATTTCAAAGGGCTAAATCTGAAAATTGAACACTATAGTTTAAGCACATTTGGTGCTAAACTACCCATATGCTGAATTTCAGGTCATTTGGTTTTCGTATTAGCGCACATGAGCCAAAAATGTAAACGTAAATGTAAATGTAAACAAAAATGTAAATGTAACGTTACATTTTTGGTCAAAAATAGCAAAAAAAGTCAAATTTTACATAATTTCAAAGTGACACACGCCAAAAGCATGAATAATGTTCTGTGGGCTTGTATCCAAGGATCTCCCATACCAAATTTCAGGTCATTTTGTTTTAATATTAGGGCACATGAACCAATCTACTTTTTTGTCTGAAAATAGCCAAAAAGCCCTATTTTACACAATTTTGTATGCCAAAAGCTTGGATGGTGTTCTGTAACGGGAGGGGTCCTAATTCCGAACTATGTTCCATGCAAACCCACATACCTTTAATCGTAATAGTTTATCTGACCAAAAACCCGCGCAACATACTTAGTTATTATGTTGACAGATAAAGATCACTGTACACGACAGCAATTTAAGCTCCATATCTGTGTATTTCACTTCAGTGCAGTGCCTTGCACCCTAGCGTAATGGTTTGCAAAAGTTACGGCAGGTCTTTTTTTATTTGGTAATTTTGCCGGTGGGACGTTCTATCGCAATATCGGTGCCCTAATTCCAACTTAGAATTAAACACAGGTCGATCTGAGAAGAAGGTTTAGCATGTAAGATACACAATTTATGAATAAACTGAATAAATCTGCAACTGTTTTTCTATCCCAAACAAGTTCTCTTTTTACCATTACGCGACTTGCTCCAAAGCATTTTGTTTCAAAATCAAAACTGCATTTTTGACACGCTCATCAACCCCCAAACAAGCGTCAAATTCAAACAGATTTTTCACTCGTCTGTTGCCAGAGCGTACAAGCTAAAACAAACTTTGTGAGATTATCGATATCAACACAAAAACTTTGTCCATTCTGGTGGTTATTCATAGGCACGTGCTCCCATGCATAACGCCGCAACAAGGATTTTTCAAACTAGTACGGAATAAGGGCTAGGTCGGAATTAGGGCACCTCCCGTTACCGTTACCAATTAACACAAATACTGTGTCCATTTCTGTGGGTATTTATATGCACATGCTCCCATGCATAACGCCGCAACAAGGATTTTTAAAACTAGTCCGGAATGAGGGGTATTGAGGTTGGAATTAGGGCACCCCCAGTTAGACATGTGTCCAAGGTATCCCCATACCAAATTTCAGGTCATTTGGTTTTAGTACCAGGGCTCCAGGTCTGAAAATGCCCCCCCCCCAAAAAAAGGCCTGTTTCGAAAAAAAACGCCTGGGGGTTTTTGTCCACTCTACCTCTATGCCAAATTCTAGGTCATTTGGCTGAAAAATGGCAGAGTTTAATCCATTTAAAGAAATGGCAGGAGAAGAAGAAAGAGAAGAAACATGAGAGAAAGTAATATGTCTTCACCATTCTGTGGTATTGAAGCCATAACAATTTCAAAGGCCTGTTTCAAAAAAATGGAGGAAAAAACACCTGGGGATCAGCGTTCCCGCCAGCCCCGTCTCATGAGTGCGTCCAAAGCCTGTAACGCGTTATATAGGCATTACTTTTTCCAAAGTCACTACATGTATTTCTTTCGGAAATAGTTGGAAAATCCTTGGATACAAGCCCACAGAATTTGGGGTTTGTCCAAAAATGTACATTTTTGGCTCCTGTGCACTAAAATGAAAACCAAATAACCTGAAATTCAGCGAAAGGGTAGCTTGGCACCAAGTTCTCAGACTATAGTGTTTACTATTCACAATAATCCCTTTAAAATATTTTCATTTACATTACGTACTTTCAGTAAAAACAGAGATTGTAGCTTGCAAACCTAAATCCCCAACTTACACTGTGTGACAGTTTTAAATAGAACACTGGTTCAACCTAAAGGACGTTCTATCACAGGATATCCTTGGTTCTACATGTTCCAACAGCAGAAGGCGTTTGAAGATTCCATTGCTGCATGCATGGGGGTATAGACTATTGGTCAGGAACACTCCATATTTTGGACAGGGGTGATTTAGGAACGATCCATTTGTACGGGAGGGCGGATAGGTCCATTTTTGGTATAGGGGATATGATAAAGCCATTTACTGCATTTGCTCCCAAGAAAATGTCGGCCTTTCTAGTCACTTGAATTATCAATTTAAATGAAGTAATAAAAAATAAAATCATATTAACTGGTGTTGTAAAAAGGTAATTGATCCTAAACATGATGATCATTTCAGATAATGACTGCTGATGAAACCAGTAAAGTTGGCAAAATTTCCAAGCAGTGGAGTGGGCTTGCCAGGGAAATGTTCACAGATGCAGACAACTTTGGAATCCAGTTCCCAATGGATCTTGATGTCAAGGTCAAAGCTTGCCTGCTTGGAGCAGTATTTCTCATTGTACGTTTTCCTTTTCTTTTTTCCTTTTCTTTTAAAAGGAAACTTAGTGCAAAAGAAGAAAGCTAAGAACTCTTGAGTTTGATAGTCCTGGAATATAATAAAATCTTTCCAGGAGCAGGTGTTCATTGATCACTTGTGGTAAGCATCAGTGACAATGTGTTACATATCATATGCAGGTTGTGCATTCCAAAACATATTATTCCAAAACATGTTTTGGAATGGGCCAGGTTTTGGAATTCGACAGAAGATCCGCTGTGTTGCATTCCAAATCATGGCGCAGTTGGGTCACGATTTGGAATGTTTCATTGCGTGACCACGCTGTCAAACATAAATACAGTGTACAGTGGGTCATCAGGGATGCCATTTTGTGCCTGTCAAGTAAGCCGTGTTTTTCTGTATATGTGTTTTAAGATTAAAGTTGAGTTTACAATCAAAACACGTGATTATGAAACCCATATTTTGAATGTATCACGTTTTGGAATAAGATAATATGCATTCCACTTCGCATTATTCCCAATTATGTTTTCGAATAGATCACGTTTTTTTTCACTTCCTGAATTGCACTGTGTGCAACATAAAGGCAACATTAAAGTACTACAACATGATATTATAAACTTTCTTATTGAAACATTGCTCACAGTTGTTAAAATTCTTATATGTATTCCTATGCATTCGTCATTCCTATACATGTGCTTTATGTTCATTTCGTATTAAACGTTATTGCTAAAATTCTTATTAGTTTATTAGTATTCCTTTTCATTATATTCTGCACCTTGAAACCATATCATCTCTGCCAACAGGACTTCATGTTCTTCGAGCAAGTTGGGAATCAGGAACAGCAGAACACAGTCTGGTGAACACCAACATACCTGGCATCGAATCGATGCACATTGTGTTCAAACTTGTAAAATTCACTAAATGTACATGTATACATCCTCAAAAATGGCAGTTTATGTCGCCCCCGCCATTGTTCCGGTGTCCAAGTTCATCCTTTTTTTAATGAGAGGTCGAACTCTACATTTCTGATTTAGATGTATCTACATGTAAAGCGTATGGTTGGGGATAATGTTGACAACCGATTTCTTAAACTTATTTTTCCCCTTTATTTCTGATAAGGCCATACCGTCTTAATTTTATGGATGACATCCTCTGAAGTCCCCCAAACTAGTGCGCGCGGGCGATTAAAATAAAAATCCGGCCTAAAATAAAAATGCTACTAAACCACAGGAATGCAAAGCTGGTATTGTGAATTCGCGGCAGTACATAGAGACGTATAAGACAAGCCGGCACATGCAGGCTTTTTGCGGAACTTATGAATCGACACTGTACGTATGTAGTGAGTTATTGAGTCGTGGAGCTTCGGTAGCCTGGGTGCCATCCTCCAGAGTTACCACCTACGTATTGTCGCTAACTACCATGGACACCACAGGCCAGAGTGTCGGAAGACGTGATCTTTTTTTTTTTTTTTTGAGGGCGACAAGCGAAAATCAATGCGCGCGCGGATGTCATCCGTAAAATTAAATCGGTGTGGCCTAAGATAGTATGTCTTTAATTTGTCATCATGTCATGAAATATTTCCCATTAATCATGCAAATCAGGTCTTCATTTACATAATCTATATCTTCATGTGTTCCTCTCCTTCTCAATCACATCACATAAGTGTTTCATAATCCTAGTATCGAACTAAGCAGATTTATAGAATTTCCTCATTAGTTATGCAAATTAGCTCCTGATTTGCATAATTGTCATCTAATTATATCAAGCATCACTTTGGCTACCTACATCACGACGTTGGCCGCTTCTACATTTACTAAAAGGGTTATCGTTATGAAAAGAACAGTGCAGTTGACTATATTTTTAATCTGAATAACCTGAACGGGTTGCCTAGT